CTGAGAATGCCTTCAACTTTGTTCTCCCTGAAGCTCCTCAGATAGAGTGAGGTTATTTTCTTTATAAGAAAAAGTCTCATTGATAATGAGGTACTGGAAAGCATTAAACTTAAACCTCCTTGGATCTGTAATTTCTTCTACAATGCTTCTCATTTCCAAGTATAAAATATATAGATCTACCAATCTGTTCACTCCTTTGGACTTTACCTCTACTACATATGATTCTTTGATAGTTGATTGAAATAAATACTAGGGTTTCCCCTCTCTCAGGTAGATGCACCTTGATAAGTGTTCGACGACCTATTTGTTATCCCAACTAACATGCTCAAATTTGAAATATGTGGACTTCCAAATCTCTACTTTTCCATGTCGAGGTATTTTGTCATCATTTCATCTTCGTTCTTGCATTCTCCATTCACTTGGCTCATCACCAACTGTGAGTCTGATTTTATTAAGAGGCGTCGAGCGTAGGTCAAGCACAAACTTTCTATCAAGGATTCATATTTCTACCTGGTTGTTAGTAACCTCAAATTCAAAGGAGATTGAATAAAAAAGATGTTCCCCAATTGGATTTCTCAACATAATTCCCACGTCAGCTCCCACATGATTGGAGGCTCCATCTATCTGCAAAACCCAAGTTTGGTTTGGTGTTGACTCCTTCATTAGTCTTGGGTTGCTAGAAAAAGTCGGTAAAAAATTGGCTTTTCATGTGTTTCTATAGTCGTTCTAGGGATGTATGATAGATTAACCTGCTTAACTCACTTGACAAGAGCATTTTAACTGACTCCTTAAGTGGTACCAACTTTAGCGAGTGATCCTTATGGAGTCAGTCAAAATGCTATGGTCAAGTGAGTAGCAACTTTAGTGAGTGATTGATAATGAACTAGATTGGGTGTGTTTGGATGTACGGTCAAGGCATAAGCATAGAGACAATCAAAACAATTTAATAGCTAAATTTCACATCCCAAAGTGCCCGACTGTGTAGTAAATTGGGAACTGCTTCCCCATCTCCTTTGTACTAACACTAAACTAATGGCTTCACGTCCCACTCTCAAGTACAGAGAGAGCACTTTGTTAGGCTTTGATTCTAAAGAAGTTGCGACTTTATGAGAGAGTCCTTCAGCTTTGGAAATGCTTACTCACAATCCTACTACTGGTTAGAACTTTTGGTCTTCCACAATGTCTTAAAAAATATTAAGAGCTTATTTTCAGACTTAGAGATAAACCAGCTAAGTCATGTTATTTGAAAGATTAATTTTTGGACTTATTTAGTGTTTTGGGGGGATGACATGTTCAACAGTACTTGTACATTTTTAGGTTGGCCTTTATAACGGGCTAAGAGGTAGCCAAGAAATTTGTCAGTAGAGGCTCCCAATATAAAATTAAATGGATTAAGCTTCATGTTATATTTTTTAAGTGTTTAAAATGTTTCTTTTAAGTCATTCATATGTTGTTCGATTGATCGATATTTAACTAGGATATCATCTACATAGACTTCAATATATATTTTTTTAAAAAAAAATTATTCTCATTAAATGAGGGTAGGTAGCCCCATGTTCTTGAGCCCAAATGACATTACATCATAACAATAAAAGCCTTCACTAGTAATAAATATTGTCTTCTCTTCAATGGTTGGGTGCATTTTAGTTTAGTAGTTGCTAAAAAAACCAAGAATCTCATCACAGAATAGCCGACCGTTAAGTCCATCAAACTGTCGATGCATGGTAGTGGGTAACTAAGTTTTGGGAAATTAGAGTTTAGATTGGTGAAGTCTATGCACATCATCCAATTTCCATTCTCCTTTCACGCCATCACCATGTTGAAGACCCGGGATGAGTATTGTACCACCCAGAGATAATCAACTTCCTTCATCTTCTGCAGCTCTTCACCCAACCAATGTTATGATCGAGTACCTTAATTTTTGCTTCATTGGTCAAAGGATTGAGTTGGGGTTCAAATGGTGATAGGCCACATCAGTTGGGATGACCAACATTTCAACAACAAACTAGGCAAATACATCCCGGTGGTTGTGGAGCCATCCTAGACCTACTACCTCTGGGTGGTTGGGAGCATGGAGCAGAAGCCCCTGGTCATCCAGGACCAAAAAGAAGAAGGGGGGGGGATCTCTAGACCAATAAGACCACTCTAAAAATCCCCATGTTCGATGGAAAGCCTACAAATATTTTCTAAATAGAGATATTTTTTATGCAGGGCAAAGGATTTGGAAGTTAATAGAACTACCAATATCGATTAGAATACTACCAATCCGGTAGTCACTTATCAAAGCAATGACAACGATGGTGTCCTTGAAGAGGATTCCCTTCATGGGCATGTCAATATATACAAAAGTGATTGACGGATGATGACTGCATCTCGCCACTAAGACAACCACGCGCAACTCTCCTGATCAGAGCCTTGTTTGACTAGCTCATCAGAATTAATGTCCATCTCCCTTATGATTGTTGGTACCACCCCTCTAACCAGTTCATCAGATATCTTTTCAACTGAGGCTTTCTCCTGCCTTCGGGTAGCTGCCCCAGGCTTTCCAAACTTTTTGAGCTTCCAAGTTCAGATCGATTTTTTGATCAAGCTGCGGAGAAGCTCACACTCCTCCATTTCATGACCTTGGTCTATGTAGTACTGACAAAACTTTTTTAGATCTCAGATAAAAGCTCTGGTTTTCATCGGGAGAGCTTGCTTTACATATTCCTTATTTTGAATGGCCTTAACAATCTCGGCTATGGAAACTTTCAAAGGTGTGATGTCCGGTGCTCTGTGATCACATGCTAGTCACTCATAAAAAAAGTTGGTTGCTAGTCATGGTCTTTTGTTTGTCCTCTATGATGGGGGTTTTGCCCAGTTTACATATTATCTCAGATTGGTTAGTTGTCTTTGTATTGGGGATGGCTGGAATGGCATGGGCCATCCTTCAACCTTCACCCATTGTCTAGTAAGGCTCTCTCATGTGAGCAACGATCTATTTGGTTCAAGTTTGTGGTGGAAGTTACCAACGCTCTCTTTGGCTACGATGTGGTTGTTGGCCATCTCCAACAGCATGACCCGGGTTTTCGATTGTATTAGGTCTATGTCATATAGTAACCTCTCTCTCCTCAGTCCTTGAGTTAAGGTAGTGTGGGCCACTCTGAGTTCCAAATCCTATATATCCAACATCTCCTTCTAGAATCTAGTGATATAAGATGGCAAGGTCTCATTCTATCCTTGTTTAATCTGCTGCAAGGCTTATGAACTCATTTTGAGCCTATGGGCACTAACAAATGACACCAAAACTATCCTTCTAAAATGGGCAAAAGAGGCTGTTAGTTTTGCAGGTAGGCCTTTGAAATGCCTGAGGTATGACTCCCTTAATATGGTACATAATAGTCGAGATTTTAGCATGTTAGAGATCCTTCAGAGGTAGACGACTAACTCAAAGGAGGTGATATGGTTGGTTGGGTTGTTTCGACCCTTTTACGTTTCCAATGTAGGAATCTTGAATTTCTTCAGTGGTTCAACATCAGAAATCTGTTAGGAGAATGTATTCTTTGGCTGATAGTGGGCCTAAGTGTGCCCATACCGTTGTCTGTTTATCAGTGCAAACCTAGCACTGTCCTATTAATGAGAGAAATCTTTCTGCCCATAATCCGCTCGACGGGCTTGAGGCTTAAGTTATTCCTTCTAGTGGTTCAGCTCTCAGGAAACTTGTTCTCTTCCCTCGAGTACCACCTAGTTCAGCTCCGCAATCTGACCCAACATCTGGATTATTAGCTCTTGAATATGTTGCTAAATAAACTTACTAGCCTAGTCTATATTTCCTATATCAATAGTATAAGTTTATTCTTTGTGATGTGTTCTTCTTCTTAGTGGTGTGATTCCACGCTCACCGCACTTTTAATGACATTAAATTTGAATTTGTTATGTAGGACAAACCTAAGGAATAGAGTGAAGAATGAGAAAAAGAAATAAAGATAAAAAAGGAGGAAAATGGAGCGCTAATGAGGGAATAATGTAACATTTCATTCATAAAATGGTCTCATATTTATAGACATGGGAGACATGGTACATGTAATTATATAAGTGCGCCCTACTTTAGTGGGAATTGTATAGGTTGTTACGGGTACTTCGCTCTGGTAGGGCCCAGGGACCTTTTGGGTCCCTGATCTGGTAAGTTGGGTGATTGGGAGGAGGCAGTCGACCATGTCAATAGACTATTCAGGTTGGGTCTGCCGACTAGCTCGTAACATCGGTGTAGTTTGCTGAGTAATCCTACGAAGGTGGGCATACGATGCAGATCTGTTCTTCAAGAAAATCGTCCGGTGGGAGCGAGTATTGTCAGTTAACTCAGACCCTGAGAGGTCCTTAGCTTCTGTAGTTGCTCGACCTCTTCTGCTTGTCGGCTTATGTCTTGAGGGCCCTTCAACTGCTTGAACCGCCTGGCTTTTGGTTGCTGGCAAGTGAGTCCCATCTTGCCATGACACTTCTTCTGAGTCCATTGAGTTCTTTTGAGATGAGTGCTGACACATTTTTAGTGTCCTAATATTTAAATGTTAAATGAACAATTTACAATCAATGAAATGAACATAACTTATTCGATAAAATGTTCTGAGATTTTGACTAACAATATAAATACATTACTCCCAAAACAGACACCGTCTTCACATAAATTATCATTGTTCATTAGTTATATTTTAATCGTCATAGCTAGGTAAACACCATCCAATTATCCAAAATTCATTATCACAACTTCTCTAACATTTCTTAATTGTTACCACACAATTACATTGTTAGATCATTATTGACATTATTCATTGTATCTCTAACAATACACATCACACCCACACAAAATTAAGCTTGTATTAAGTTATTTATAATCTCGGTTATCCAATTAAAAGATTTAAATTTTAAAAACGTGCACTTTTACAAACACAAATTGTGCCACAAATGTTATGAAATCACCATTAGGTTTAAAGAGACAACTTTACCCTCACATCCCCACCATTGGCGACACTATAACGAAGGGCAGATAGGGTAAACGGTTAGACAAAGCATTGCACATTTCTACGGAGCAATAAGACACCACTCCACAACCTTCCTACCCCAAACCCTAGGTTTTCTTTCGGCCTTCGCGCTCTGCATTCGATCGGCAGTCGACGTTGTTCAGTAGCCATGGTGAATATCTGATTTCTCTCTTACTCTGTCTCTTTTTCTCGCTCTGTGGGATTTTGAAAGCATCTCACCTTCGATCCTATCCATGGTTTCTTAGTAGTTGTCTTGCTCTTGCAGGCGGATATCTCAGACGCGGTGGATGTGGGTGGAGCTCAGCCCAAGAAGAGAACATTTAGGAAATTTTCCTACAGAGGTGTGGATCTGGACCAGCTCCTTGACATGGGGACCGACGAGCTCGTCAAGCTTTTTCCTGCTCGCGCTCGGCGAAGGTTGCCCTCTGTTCTTTTACTTACGCTTATACATTGCGGATTTGGTTTCTTTGTTTGATAATTAGCCAATCTGACGGCTTTTTCTTGATTTATAATTGTAGGTTTCAGCGGGGTCTTAAGAGGAAGCCTCTGGCTCTCATCAAGAAGCTTCGCAAAGCAGTATGATATTTTCTACATTTGTTTATGTGCAGATGCTTTCCGATTGATCTTGTGTTTATTCTAGCTTAATATACAGAATACTGTGACTTTGCTCTTATTTGTTTTGTGGATTTATTGTTTGTACAGTGTTATCCCTAAATCATTGTAGAATACTGAATATTTAATTTCAACCTTACGCAAATGCTAAGATTCTTAATGCCTCACTTGAATGTTATTGATTTTGGTTGTTTTTCAGTGCTTTCTTTACTTTAAGGTATAAATGAAGGACCATTGATACTTCATTTGTGTGGTATCCGGGTTCAATGATAAGTGCACTTACTTTCAAATTGATGAAGTGTGAACGTAGATTGATGCTTATAAACGTAGATGATGTTTTTTTTCTGCATCCATCTAATTTTGGGGTGTGTTTTTTTTTCTTATTTATTATCCTAGTTCATTTGAGAAGAAAGATAAATGATAGGTTAATATTCAGTTGCATGATTTTGTTAGGCTTTTCTATTTGCATTTGTACTTTCTATGTTGTTGCTTGTTTTAACCAATAAAATTTATTTTTTTCGGCTCTTAAATTATGACGTTACGAGTGATTTTGGCGAAATATTTCCTTTGCGCTGATCCTTATTTTGTTTTTATGTATATGTACCCAACTTAATGTCCTTGATTTTTTCTATTGGCCACTTCTACCCTAGATTATAGTGCATCTTGTGAGAACTTTTGTGTTGACAATGATTAGTGCCACCTATATTTCTCTTATCCTCATAAGAATACCTCGCTTCTACCAATTCTTTGGCCTTCCTTGCCTTCTTTTTCCCTACCTCCTATGTAACATTACCCTCTGTGTAATCATCTACAGTTGTGCTCTTCCCACCCTACCACCACACTCTCACTATGTAATCATCTGCAATGAGCATTGAGTTCATCGGCAATTCTATGTTTTTTCCATTCAGGCTTGATTTTCACCAGTACTGATTTTCAAATGGTTTTGTGACCAATTTTTCTAGCAACACTTGGCATCAATTGTTTCATAATTGTCTCCCACCCCTTTATAACCAACTGCTGCTTTAATCCTCCTTAAATGCTTAATGCAAGATGGGTATATGGGACCATGGGAACGACACGTAGGCATGGGAGATGAAAATTTTTTAGAAGTGATATGACATGCACACTTTTGTACTCTTCAAAATAAATGCTCTTAAAAATAATTAAAATATAAAAGGATGTCTTTCATATTGTAATATACTTCTAAATCTATAGGAAAAAGATGACAAATCATTATTCTCATTATGCTGTTAGTCTTCTAAATCAAGTATGATAAATCATAGTTCCTTATAGTGCTATACTTTTTTGTAGGATGTGTTTGAGAGAAGCGCAAAATGTGTTGACAGGTGCCGATAAAGTGTTTAGAGGTGTCTAAGTGCTGTTAGAAAAAATAACAATTAGACACAGATGTCATGTCACTATCCAACATGATTTCGAGCATAATGTAATGACCCTATACAACTATTTGTGCTTTATAGCTCTCATAGTCCTCTATGCTATACTCTTTGCCAATTGCCATCACAAGGTTTGAAAAAATGGATCGAACAATATATGTGAACTGTGAATACGGCAAGTTCAGTTAGCCTTACAGATATTTTTCACATCAAATTGGGGAAAACCAGTCAAAACTGTTCATCTGAATGACAAACTAGTGAACCGGCTGACTGACAAATTGATTATGGCTGTATAGAACCAGGCGGTCTAAATAATTTTTTTTATCACCATTTATTCTCAGTCCAATGGTTGATTTTTTTATAAAAAATAAATCTATAAATTATATTAAGTTAAACTAATAACTATGAATTTAAAAGCCTTAAAACTAATTACCATGAGTTTCATAAAGCTAATCCATTGCATGTCAACCACCTAGATGAGTTACAAGCACATTTTGGGAAGCTTTCTTTTCTTCATGTAACCAGTGCAATATTAACTTTCTTCTTTGACGTGAGAATGCTGAAATTTTAGTTATTTTGCGGGAATGAAGAATTGAGTTATGTGGCTGGCTTTTGAGAATGTTAAATGGGCTGCAAAATATGGGAATGTTGTAATAACATTTTAAATTTTTTTATTTTAATATTATAAACTTTTATCTTCTTATTAATTTTAAGAAACTATTTTCTTATTATAATTATATTCTTACAAAAAATTATTTTTATTTTTATATATCTATAGGATTTTTTTTTATTTTAAATGTATTTAATATTTATACATCTGGATATATAATTCACATATAATTGTAGCTTAGCAAGCTTTATATTGAGTTTTAAATTAACAATTATTAAAGATATTTTTCATCACATATTTATCATATATTTAAATTATTACATAATTTAAATTATATTAAAATATTTTTAATATTTATTATATAAATAGGGTTGAACCTTGGCAGAACTATTAAACTTTTAACTTTTCTTTCGGTTTAATGAGTGGTCTGATTTTCACAACCGTGACCTTTACTGCACTTTATTGCATACAGAAAACATTGATGCATGATTGGCATATGTTGCACCCTATACAATTGATTGCCTGAAGTCTTGAGCTCTCATGATTTGGCACTTTGGATGCCACTTGTCTTTTCCATCACTGCTCTCATTAGATTCACTCAATGCACGGAAAGGTGAACAGAAGATGGCAGTCAAGGTATTTAGGTTGACTGTTCCATAATCCATGAGCCAAAGTACAATTTTGTTGAAAAATATTAGACGATTTTTATTTCATGCTAATTGGCTTAATAAAACTAATCTACTGAATTTATCTATAGCTTGCTTCAGTGATTTGGAATGTAATTTATAAACCTCAGTTTAAATCTAATGTTGGCAATATTTTAACATTCAACTTACATGTATGGTTTTTTTTTTTTTTTTTCTTGCGGGTTTGACTGAATGATTCATGGGATTATGGGAATTTAACTGTTCTTTTGTTTTATTGGGTCCAGTTGCTTGTAGAGGCCAGTTCTTTACTCACCCAAATGCATGAAGTTTCTAACTAAAGAATATGACATTGGAATTGTTTTCTCTGATAATATTATTCCTATTATTTTTCAGAAAATCATATATGCTTGATTACCATTATTTGTAAGGTTGTCACTTATAAATGCTTTCTTTAATTTCTGTTGATATACTTTTTGAGTTGGGTTTAGTTTAAGCGAAGGACCAGTGTAGAGTTGAAAGAAATGATGAGAAGATTTCGTCACAATTCTTTTTAATAATTTTTTTATGTATAAAATTTTTCACATATTAACTCTTTTTTATGATGATAAAATTATGCAGAAACGAGATGCACCTGCTGGTGAGAAACCTGAGCCTGTGAGGACGCACCTCCGCAGCATGATAATTGTTCCAGAAATGATTGGAAGCATTGTCGGAGTTTATAATGGAAAAACTTTCAACCAGGTTGAGATCAAGGTGTGTTTTTTGATTGGTATATTATGGATATCATTTTGGAATTCCTATGTATTCACATATCTAACACTAAAACTTTAATTTTTTCATTTATAACAACACTGGGCCTATATATGAAAAGGTGTATCTCACTTTTAGAAAGCTGGAAATAGAGTCATTTTTTATGATATTAAAGATTTGAGTGTTATAATATTAAAATCAAACTTTAGGTGTTAGATATGTTAAAGCCATGCAAATTGTGTGTTATGTATACAAATGCCCATGCTTTTTTGAGATATGATGAAGTCATTTGCACTGCAGACATCTTTCATGCTGATTCGCTGAACTATTCTTAGGTCCATATGTTTATGATAAATAAATTACGGCTTACAATCTAGCTTTTTGCTCTATTTTTACTGTTACAGCCGGAAATGATTGGTCACTATCTGGCAGAGTTCTCCATCTCATACAAGCCTGTGAAGCATGGCAGGCCTGGCATTGGTGCCACCCACTCATCCAGGTTCATTCCACTCAAGTAAACCAGTAACAAAGACAGAGCTTTTGCTGCTTTATTTTGACGTGTGCTTTAGTCATATGGTTGAAGATGGTTTCTTTTCTTCTGAACTCCTGATTTGCTAACTTTTCAGCAGCGCATTTTTAGACTGGATATGTCGGCTTTTGTCCGTAGAAATATATATTTCTCTTTTAAAAAGATAATAATATTAATAATAATAATCATAATATTTTATGTGATATTAATAATGTGTGTTATAAATATAAAAATTAAAATTCAAGTGTTAATTATATAATGTTCTGTAAGCCCAAAAACATTTGAATACGGTTAACAGCAGCTCACAATAAAGTCGTCTGCTAACCCTAATGAAAAATAACATCCCAAGTAACAAAACCAGTGTTGGTCTTATCTCCTTTTCTGTTGGCAAAGGACACTTAATTATAAAATTGAAGTACATAATATGCTTATTTATACAGGCTCGAATATCGTGATTTCTCCCTCTATGATGTATATATATATAACCTCTTAAAAGCCCAAACTAGACTCCTGTTGTGAAAAAATTATGAACATGGCAGCATATATGATAAAAAGTTTAGGGGGATTTACATTTCTAGTACTCGACTCACGTATTTACATATTAAAAATGAGTAAAAGCTCAAAATAGTTTCTCCACTATTAAAAAGTGTTCAATTAAGGGTCTCTTTGGGGCAGGTGCGGTGCCGTTTTGAAAATGCGGCCTGTTTGGGTACACTGTGTTTTGGCAGCTTATGCGTTCTCAAAACGCCAAAAATAGTATTTGCACACCGTACCTAGATGCGGTGGGAACTTTTTGACAGCGGTTTGATTTTTTCAAAAAAGTAAAAATTAGTAATAGTCATCGCATCTATCTTATCAGCAGATTATTTTTAATCAGTTTATTAGCAGATTATTCAATAAGTTGTAGCTGCCCCAAATTGACTCTTGGTCACAATTTTAAAATGCTTAAAATTTTTCTCAAATTATTAAAAGCTGTTCCAAATTGATTTTAAATCATTTCTTTTAAAATTTAATGGTGGTCTGTATATAAATTTATTTTTTCATTGTTGTTGAAAAATTATATAAATTTGTTTTTAGCCGACCCCACGTAGTGGGATCAAGACTTTGTTGTTGTTATTGTTGTTGTGGTTGAAAAATTATAATTTTTAATTTGCATTAATAAATCTTTTCACAATAGTAATCCACAATAGTAATCATTTTTTTCAAATGAAAAATTTTTAAATAATCAAGAATTATGCAATAATAACTCAATAAAAGTTATATGAATTATTTGATTTCAATTAAATTTTTTGTTTTAATATTATTTATTAGAGAATGTTTTAAAATAGTTAAATTAAATTTAAAAAATAATGTGAATTTATTTTATGTTAAAAACATTATGTATGTGAATGATAAACTTTTCTAATTGATGGCGAACCACTTATATTTTTACACACATTTTTTCCATTCCGCGCGGCTATGTAATATTAAATTGAAAATAGCTTTTCCTATTTTTTTGTTGCGAAGGAATTGAGTGAGAAGGAAAGTAAAATTATATTTTGTTTGATTGATTAATGATACGTTAAATGTGAGTTCAAATGATGATCCAACAGAAAATTCCATACTTTTCACTCTATATAAAGAAAATTATGAATAAAAAAAAAGTATATTTTAGTATTTTATATGTTATCAAACTACTAATTTGAGTGAAAATACCCTCATATTTTCCTATATAGTCTTACAACAGGAGAAAAAGCCAACTACTTGCCAAGGTTTTATAGAGGTAAATGTCATCAAACTATATATCAATTAGTCTGTATCAACAAGTTAGAAGAATTTCACAACAAAATCACCCAATTTTACCATAATATGTCAATGCACCAAACCATCATATTTTTTTAGCTTTCAAAATTGCCACAACATCATCAAATACATATTATCTAATACAAAGTGTCATTTTCATTGCGTGTAAAAATTTATATATTATGTTTATGTAAATGAACTCCAAAACTATTAAACTCGATAGCCCATGAAATCCTCCAAATCTAACAATCCAATCTTTTTCCTTTTGAAAGCGTAAACCTGTTAATATATGAAGAAGTAACTAAACAACTCCTTTCAAAATGTAATTTAATAGTTAATTAATAATCATTTATTAACTGATCTTTCTGTTGACTCAACCAATAGTAATACTATTTGTGAATCGTAATGTCAATCAATATATCTTAACTAAGAATAAAAAATAATTACACAAAGATTAGAGTATTCTTTTTACGTAAATAAACACATTATATGAATTCATTCTACTTACTAATGTACTCCTGTCATTTGATTCTTCAACATACAACTGATATTATAAGATTTCATCGACTTTGAGTGATTGAGCAAATTGAGTTTTTTCTGATCTTCTCTTTTGTCTTACCACAACTTATGTGATTGTGACCACTTTGTCTGCATTATCTACAATTTACAACCACTATTGACTTATCTAATCTTCTCTTTTGTGCGTCATCGGGTTGTTCTTATAAGCCTCTTCTTAATTTTGGTGATTGTCTAAATTGAAATAAACAATGAAATGAGCTATTAAACTTCTTGCAAATTGCTTTGCACCATCTCTTATAATTTTTTAAGAACTTTATGATCCTTCTCTTAGCAATTGACAAATTTTGCACATCTTCTTTAAATTCATATTTACTACTAAATAACATTCAATTCAAAATCATACTTTTGAAACTCTTTCATAGGATTGAAAATTGGTCACTTAATACTATCATCTTCATCATTGTTATGCACACTCACTTCATCGTTGAAATTCATTATAGTTATCATAACATTTTCTTTCCAACTTTCCATTAGAAATTTGAATGCATTCCTAATTCTTCATCCTACCTTTTTTATTATAAGCGTGAATTCAACCGAATGATCAACATTACTTTCAAATAACCCGTCATCTTCATGAATGTCATAATCACAGTCTATAATTTTTGTACAATTATCTAAAACATTGTACTTCACCTCATCTGCCTCTATATGTTTATTCTTATCTTCGATATTTTCTAGCTCAACTCCATTCATTTTACTCAAACCACTTCAGAGTTGTGAAAACTATGTATCATCAAGTCATTCAAATATAATTTCATACACTTCAACATTTTCAACGGCATTCCCTATAACAAATAATACACTTAATTTTATAGCATTCACAAATTAAATTGCTCATACCCATGCTCGACATCGATGGACCATCATTTTTGTTGCCCCTTCTATTATTCATTATTCGAATAGATCACCACTCTCATTTGTACACCGAAAAAATCACAAATCAAATACTCTAAACCAAAGAAGGAAGCACTTCTGTTACATTAAATTAATTCACTAAATCTAAAACACAAAATAAAATAGATGTCGAAATACACATGTACATAATACAATCCGTGAATCGAGTTTAAATGACAATACATCTAAATTTACACTAAAAATTGAATGAATCTACTAAAAAACTTAATTTTCCAAAAATATTTAATCATAGATTTGTTCCTTATATATTTGGTAAAAAACATATGAATACAATGCAAATTTTAAGCTTAAAAGACTATCATATAAACAACACCATGATTAAAGGACATGCAAAAAAGGGGCATTTACGTACATGCCACCCAATTCATATGTATTTACATATGGAAGGCCAAAACTTTTTTTATTTACATATTTTTAACATCCAAAAAAAGGGGGATTTACATATATACCACTGAATTCCTATGTATTTATATGTCTAACACTTATACTTTGTTTTTCTTACTCCAAACAAAATAAAATAGCCACTAAAACCAAGCAACTCAAAGTATCACAAAATCTGAAATCCCATTTCTCTACCATTCTTTTCCTTAAATCAAATTAAATCCAAACAAATAAGTTGAAGAAAACTCTTCAAAAATCGTCCACAACGCGACCTCGACAGGAAGGGGGGCGGCCCCGCCTTTGGCGCTGAGTAAAATTTTGGACAAATTATTTCTCTCCACAGACTACGGTGTCATCTCTACCTACTCCACCCATTGCTTCTCTGAATCCAACTGATGCGGATCGAAACAATTGCAAAGTGCAGCTCACGCATGACCACTTCAAACCCACACAACACTAGCATGAAGACGGCACAACACGAAGACTATGAAGCATGAAGATGATGTTGCATGAAGAAGATGCAACGCGAAGACGCATGAAGACAGAAGTTGGGTTATAATTGCTTGCTCACATAGAGGGCGTTCATTGCAAATGAGGGCATCATTTTGTTCAAATGAATAGTCATTTGAAGCTAGAAAGTTTAAATATATGGAGAAAGGGTTAGACGAAATTATTAATAATGTTTTTCTAAATACATAACATGAGTATATTATTGGCATATGTGGAAGAACATTACAAAGTACAACAATTATGCAACTAGTTCTAGGATTCAAAGCATTGTAGGGAGTATTACAAATGCATATTGGAGGCATGAATTTAAATCAAGGATGCATAAATTATTACCCGTTCCTCTATTCTTATCTTCTATAGCTACCATATAAGTGGTCAAAATATCAATTCTTAGTTAAAGTTAGAATCATTCAATTTATGGATTGGTGAGACTCGAAGTAAAATTGTAGTTGATTTGATAGATATAGTCAGAGAAATACTAATGAAATAAATAACAAAAAGAAAAATAAATTAAACAAAATAAAGAGGGGAGCTAGTTCCTTTCGGGATAGAATACATCAGAAAAATTATAACTGGAATAGATCATTTTATTATTAGACAATCAACAACTTATATAATTGAGGGTGAAGGTCACTACGATAGACATTAAGTAGATATTGATGCTATAACATATACTTGCAATTACTTGCAAACATCTTGGTTACCATGCATACACATATTTTCCTTTTGGGCACGAAAGAACATCAACTTTGACACACATATATAGATGATCATTACTATCTTAATAGTCAATAAGAATGGTTATGTAAATGATTATTGGTATGTTTCATCATTTTGCTTTCATGTGATGTATTTATTGTAGATACAAACTAGTTTGTGATTGTGTTATTTCGATAATTTCAGAAAAAGAGTAGTAGAACAAAAATATTGGTGTGATTCACATAAGATTGTTAAAGACATTGAGACCAAGGGACAAACCAAAGAAGAGCATATTTAAGAGCTTCATGGAGAGCACAAACACGAAAATGAGAAGAGTGCATAAGTGTAGTTGTTGTGGATTTTTTTGTCATCATAAGAGGATATGCAAAAACCTACTAAATCAATTAGGTGGAGAATATTTGATGTTGGTCCAAGTTTGCAAAGCCACTTTGAAGAATAAAAAATGGAAAGGTAGCACCCATCTATATTACTTTGGTTCATCTTGATAGTACTTGTTTTGTTGGTAATTATATTTCTGTAAATTTTGTTAGTCTCGTATTGAATTATTAATGCTAACAATGTAATAATTTTTTTCTATATGAATATGATATTATCATATAATTTTTTTGGAGTACATATATATATATATATATATATATATCAGTTAAAATTGTTTATGAGTTATGAAACCTTATATTTCAGTACATTTGTATGTGATGCTTTTCCTGTTGTTTAAATATATAACCAAATAATGAATAAACTAGATAATTTCATGTTACTCCATTAAAATGGGTCTATATTAACATAAAATTTCTTCAAAAACTCTCTTTTGACATATATCTACTTAAGAATATAGACAACTAAAACATTGTTATATACAACATATTAATTTCTTCTTCTTCTAGTAGTGAAAGAAATTGAGCGAATTTGAATCTGTTTTCTGGAAGATAGATTTTGTGTTTTTAGTTTTTGCGATAATTTAACATCATTTTTTTTTCTTTGAATCTCTAAATGTTTATGAATTTATAAAATCGTATATTATATGCCATTTGTAAATTAATAATCACAAAAAAATCAACAATGTTGCAATTAATTTATAACACCATTTTGTTTTTTATTATTCTCTTTATTGTTGTTATTTCTTGAAAGAAATGGACTTTTTATTCACTTAATCATGGAACTAGTTCATACTAATAGATCTTTATCTGGATTCCAATAATAGTTTAGTTTGGTTGAATATTGGAATTAAATTTGTCAAATAGAAGTGTTTAATTGCAAGAAAGATTATCATTTCGTCCCTAAAAATACAATAATATATTGACATTATAAATTCAAATTGTAAATGCACCAATTTAAATGAATTAACTATTATACTATTTTCAAGTTTTAAGGTTTCATTCTTCTTTTTGGTTTCTTCATCGGTAGATTGATGCATAATGAGAATGTATGGGAAAAACTTTAGAATTTAGAAGGTTTGTGACAGAGTACATCTTTAGGAATAAAGAATATCTACCAACATAGTTGCATTTCTATCTGGTAACATGATTAGTATTTTGCTTCAAAAAAATAATCTGGTTGTAATAGGATAAAGTATAATTTTAAAAGACAAGAGAATTTTAAATGAATTAAAATCAATATATGATTTTTTTAATGAAGTCTTCAAGATATTAAACAATTTTAAATTTTTATAAAATTGTTCATTTATATATATATAATTATAATGACAAATGATTAAACATTCCATTAAATTTGAAACACTTCATATTTTATACGTAGCAGTCAAATGACAAATCATTGAAAGATTTGAATAACTAAAAGAAAAGTTTTTTTCATTGTATGATGTCATATTTAGATTGAGCAAGTAAAGTCCAAATATTGTGAAAATAAAATGTTAAAAGAATTGAAAGAGTTGAAAATAATTTATTTAAACTTGTTTGATTGCCACCTAAGATATTAGTTATTGGTGCAATGAGATCTTGATTGGATGTTGTTTTATCTTGAATCAAGTGTAATCTTTGAAGTGACTCATTATCTATATGATATTATGTTGTTTGATTGACATGTGAGCTGACGTTAAGCACGTTTTTTCTCTAATTATATTGTATTTAATTGAACTAAGGAAATTAATTTTGAAAGATATTTTCTTTTGTAGTCATTTGGAGAAAGGAGTTTTTGCTGGCTAAAATATTTCACTTATATCTTTTTTTTTTTATGACTAAAGTTGAAACTTGTGTATCATTAATTTTATTCTTATATTAAGTCTTTGATAAATATACTTTTCTCATGAAAAAATCACATCATGTAGCTTGTATTAGTCAATTAAAAATCTTAGTACTCTTCATTTGTGTGATGTATTCTACTGACTGTTGTGGATGTAAAATATGATAGTAGGATAAATTTCTTTTCCCATGGTGTTTGAGAGAGCCTTTGGGCCTCATAACTTCATTATCACCTTGTAGTTTACTGATGCTTAATGAATGAAATTTGCATGACCTAACATTTCATATTTTTTGGTGGGTTAAAAGAAAGGCTTGTCTGCTTTTAAACATTATTATTTACATCACATATTTATATTACTCATCTTCTGATGTGAGGTTTTACTACCGACAAATCACAGATCTCATTTTGTATTTGAATGGGTGTGATAAAACGAAAGCTTCAAAGTTTACCTAATCAACTGCAACATAATAATTAAGTTTGCATTTGCATTATTGTGCCCACAATTCCCGAAGCATTGTATTCAAGCAAAGCATAATAAAAATCATGTTCATGAATCATCACTTAATTTATCAATCTCATTTTCATCATAACAATCAAAATTTTTTAGGTATTTAAAGGTTATCAATACGCATACTTCTAATAATCTCAATTATTCATAAGAAGTTGGAAATTCCATGAAGGGTTTTCTACAAAGTTCATATTAGTATGCCATTGATGCATTTTACAAACTACTAATCAAGAAGAAAAGTATCAAATATGGGAAATATATTTGTTGAAAATGAATCTTTGCAGAGCTAAGGGAGATGCAAAGGTTGGAAATATTTGTGTTGATATGATATTTTTAATGTAACGATACATCTTTGTTACCATGGTCTTGGATTTTAATCCAAAAGGTTCAACCACAACGCAAATCAACACTTTACTATAAAAGTTGCATAGAAATAACAACAAAAATTTTGCTATCACCAAGTTAAAGATGTAAATTAAACTTTTACTTGTTTGGTTTTATTGCGAGAAAGTAATTAAATGTATATATTTAGGATAAACCTCAGTTAATGCTCTCCAATGCACATGAATGGGAAGATAAGCTAACACAAGTAATTTGGCTCTTAGAATGTTCCTTAAAACAGTGACTTTGTCATTGATGTATATCATTTGTCATAAAACATATATTAAAACTATGAATGACAATAAATAGTCAATAAAATATATTCAAAATAAACTAGATTCATTAATGAAATGTGACAAACATGAACAAATACACGAGAAATGATCGTTAAATACATAACAAGCCTAAGAAGGGAAAACATCATGACAATGATGATCAACGAGCATAGCCAATATTGTTTTGCTCTATATTGAGATCATTCCAAGCATCTTGATAGTATGCTCCTCAACATCTCATGATTGATTCTCTTAATTCATATGTGCCATCATCAACATCTAGAAGAAATTACCACAATCATCTTCGGTATGGTTTTGAGGACACCTTAATAATTTGGAGTGTTTACATACATAGAACCTAAACATTCATATTTACATATGTGCCAATCAAATCTTTAATATCACATAAAAATACCAACATCACCATCTTTTTAAAAGGTGAAATACACTTTTTCATCCGTCAGTCCATGCCACCAATGTTTTATAAGTGTAAATGCCAAACTCTGGGGGTTACATACGTAAATATATAGAAATTGAATGGTATGTATGTAAATTTACATGCAAAAAATCTAAATACTAAATTAATATTTTTATAAACTCTGAAATAAAAATAAACTAATAAAAATCATTTTAGCACTTTATCTAAGTAGGAAAAAAGCAAAGGGTTCTGTAAAATGAAGATGGAAAGCATATCATCAATCCAACCAAGCCCTAGAATTAGAGAATAATACAACCATAAGTGTATCAAAGACCCTAAAAGACAAATTCCTAACATGTTTTTGATTACATAATATAGAACAATTAAACTGTACTACCATCCAGTTCCAGTTACAGGCTATGAAGGAGAGTTGAAGGAGGCCAGAAGTGCATTGTTAGCATCTTTTACACTTCTAGCTCTTCTGTACTCAATTTCTGCATCAGAACATGATTCCAATACTCGAGTTCTTCTGCTCGTGGACTTCGAAAATGTTGCTTCGCTCTTCTTCTCGGTTGGATGAAGATTAGTATCATGGCAGCTGTTGTTAGCACCACCTACAAGTAGATGAGAAGAAAGTATGAATTTTATGCACAAAAATAGAAACAGGAGATAATATATAGATGTATAAGCAAGCTTATTCACCTGCAATTGGATTATCATAATTTGCTGCTACAATGATATCTCCTCTGAACACATGATTTGGCATATTTTGGCTGGCAGAATCCACCATGACTGACTTCTGGCCTCCTGTGGGCATCCTCAAGAAAGGATGGTGTTCTATGCATGACTTACAGTTGCTGAAGGGAGATGACATGGTGAAGGAAACATCAACCCCATCATTAATCTCCACATAATTTGGGGTCGCAACGATTTCGTCCGCGCTGAAACCAAAAGATGCTCTGTAGGCTTCAATCTCCTCCGGATCTTGTTTGACGGATTTGTTCGGCCTATTACCGCCGCCGGAATAAACATCACCTTCCCTGGAAACACTTAATCTTGCTCCGCAATGAGCATAGCTAGAAAAGGATTGCTGCGCCTGATCGAGATAAAATTGGGCGGCAGCGGAGTTATCTGGACGGAAGAAGCTTGAATCAGATGGCAGCATGAAATTTCTGGAGGTGGCAGAATCAAGACCAAACAGCTTGGATGGCCCATTCCTTGAATGCGGCAAGTCACGGGGCACAATGGAAGCACTCCATCGAGTAGGGGTGTCACCCTCAGGATACGGTGAAGAGAGCCCAGTACGAGGAGTTCCAGATGCAGGTGATATAAGGCTACTGGTTGGACTTCCAGGATAGAGTGGATAGTTAGACTGGAAGTCACCACCAACATAACCAGAGTAAGAAACCCCATTCACTTTACCACTACTTCTGAGCTTAAGAGAAGATGAAAGCAATTGGGCAAATGGCACATCAGGGGATGAGGGAGTTGTCAGGTGGGCAAGCTCAGGAGGAGGAGTTAGAGGAGCAGTAGAAGGTTCTGTTGTGTAAGTTGAGAAAACAGGTGGTGAGACCAACTGTGTTTCATGAGCATAAGGACCTGTTGTAAACATGGTTGAGGATGGTCCGCCAGGCGAGTTGGCAGACAATGACAAGAAACAGCTGGGCGATTGAACCGTCGAAGGGAGTGCAGAGTTCGTAAAAGAAGCAGGTGATGATGGCGGAGCTAATAGAGAGAGATTTAAGTTGGTATTTTGGTTAGAAGGTCCGGCGGACTGAGGCATGTTCCCACGACTTGTGGACCCATTTCCGTCAGGTATGCGGGTTGCAGGAACGATGCGCTTACCTCCTTTCTGTGACCCAAAACAGGAAAATCCACCAAAACAGCCTCCCCATCTGCTCCGCTGCTGCAAAAGCAAGGATGAGCCAAATAAAAAAAACTCAAGAAGCTCCACTCTCATGGTACATATAGAAGAACAAGAAATTGGAGTGAGTGATCAATTTTATGACTAGGGGAGAATATTCAATTGTCGAACAAAACAAATGAGCATAGGACATAGCACAAATCGAAGATATTGAGTGATCATTAGATGTAAATGATTGGTGTTTAAAAAGGAAGAAAAATTTACATATACATCATATTTTTCTAATATATTTACATATCTACGGCCTAAAGTTTGATATTTAAATTTTTAAAACCTTGTTATAAACCTATGCATGAAAAGATGTATTTCACTTTCAAAAAGTTGCTAAGAGAGGCATTTTTTATGTGATGTTGAAGATTTTAGTGCAATGCATGTAAATATGAAGGAATAGATGTTAGATATACAAAAAAATAAGAACTGTGCGGCATGTATATAAATACCCAACAAATGAGATGTTTTGAGGATTTGTGAAGCTTAAAATCATGTTCTTGATTATTAAATACGAGCGAAAAGAAATAATGAATTTAGCAAACTTCACTGTTTTCCAAAATGTGTCTTCTAACATCCACCAACCACATGAGTCCTGAAGCTATTCATAAAAGCCACAATTATTGAAAGCACATCAATTACTGTACTTCGCAAAGTTGAAATGTTGCTAGAAAGAGAATTGAAAGTTCTCGATCGTAGTAGTACGAACCTTGTAAAATTCATTCCTAAAAATGAGAAAAGTAGAAAATCCACTAAAAGAAAATGTGATGAATGGGGATGTTCATCCCAAGGATAAAAAGTGAAGGCGAAGAACAACATAATCCATCAATAAAAGGATATCATTACATATTATCAAGAACACTAACAAAAATTTGAAAAGATATCTCTAAAAGCTCTAAGGTCTTGATGAGCACCAGAAAGGTTGATCCCCAATGACATATGAACTAGAAATAATTTAGGCTGAGTCTGGGGAACTAGTCCTGATCAAGTGAAGGTAGTTGAATAAATTTGCGGAGAAAATAATGGAAAATAAATTTAGTAAAAAAATTCTAATTTCAAATCTATATTAGAACTAGACTTTCAAACTTGAATTTAAATTCAAATATGAAACTCAAATGAGAATAAGATTGGAGATTTTCAGTGAAGATTAAAAAGAAAATACAGGATAGTTACTACCAATTCTCAAATCTTAACTAAAATTTAAAATAACCATTTAACTTTCATTATAAAATTAAAATCAAAGTTATAAATTTTTTGAATTCGTTAAATTACTTTTTATTCCAAATCAAGTTTATTTCAACAAACTTGACAGGGTAGTGGAAAGATATGATGGCTATTTTTTGAATTCTTAAAATTACTTTTTATTCCTAATCAGTTTTATTTCAACTAATTTGACAGGGTAGTGGATAGATATGATGGCTTTCAAGATGGAAAAAGAAGTCTTTGGATGAAAAGAGCTAAAAAAAGGAGATAACTACTATCAAGATTAAAAAAAAAATCCCCAAAGCATAAGATTTCACAATCTAGACTGCATTTTGAATTGGAAGATTTTGTGCAAGATTTCAGGAATAGTTTGAATGACTTATGAAAGTATAGACAAAAGAAATTAAGAAAATATCACGCCATGGACACTAGAAACAAAAAAAAAGAAAGCATACTGATGCAAGATAAATTAGGTTTAGCTCTATTTTAGATTTTTTTATTTTATGTAGAATTATCCCTTGTATGATCATTATGATAATTTTAAATTTATATTTGAATTATGACATGTCTTATTTTATTTCATATCTTCTAATGCCTGAAAAAAAAGATCATATCTTTGAATGCCTTATTCTATAAAAGAGTGATTTTCTTGGTAATAATTTTTTTATGGATTGAATAAAAACCATGCCTTTGTTCCTCACTTCATCCCTTATTCTATATGTTCTACATCTTTCTCTCCCTCGCTCTCCCTCTCTCTTTGTACTGCTTTTTCTACACAATACTAATATCAAAAAATCCAATCTCATTAGCAATCTCGTGCTTGCTCATATCATGATTGTTATATTCATAAACTTTCCTATCTATAATCATAATCAACAACATTCAAGCTCTATCTTCTTAATTACATTCCACATGACACCTCAATGTTTGAGGCCAATCTATAACCTAATGAAAGTCAGCACTTCAATCCTTCACAAACCACCACACCATGTCCCTCCCCTTGAATAGCTAGTCAAGGCCTTTTTTTATCCTAACCGCACTGCATCCCCTGGTTGGTTGTAATATGCAACCATCTGTGACATATAACATTCTACGCCAAGTGTAATCCCTATTAGTATGCCATATGCATGTGTATTGCCTTTGGACTGAATAGGGATGTAACTAAGTCATGTTGCGTGCGAATTGACTTAGGTTCAGCTCAATAAATGGCTTGTGAACTGAGCTGATGAGTTAAGGAGCTAAGCTTAAGGCAAACTTGAGTAAAAAAATTAGCTCGTGAGCTTTGATTAAAAATGTTAATAAAATACGCACTTAGAATAATATAGAAGCTATGAGTTTTGAATACAAAGTTAAAAATATTATATATATATATATATATATATATATCACTTCTTCATATCAAATGATTTCTTCTTATTTCTACTCTATTTTTTCTTTGTTATTAATGCATTAGAAAAATTACATGGATCATAATTAACTTTCTCTATCATAATAAATAAGCTAGCTATTAAGCTGACTTGAATGTATATAATTGAGCTCGAACTTGACCTCAAACTTAATTAAGTAATCAAATTCAAGCTCAAGCGAGGGGTGAATCAAGCTTAGCTGGACTTATTGACATCCTTAGCACTGATTGCACTGCTAGACACCTTACATTAATCAGTACAAATGGCTACCAGTTTCCACTCTTGCTCACTTACTAGCACTAGCTTACTACACTACACCAGCACGCTTGCTCCTTATGTCCACCACTCAAATCCACTAGCGTCTTCGCTAATCTCTCAAAACAACATTCAACTCACTTGCACTCTCAACATCTCTAGTTCTCCTGCACACTTTTATTTTTGTCTTCATAATATTTAATATCAAAGCTTTCCGATCTTGTTAGAAATCATATATGCAAGCTTAGATCATGATCTTGATCGTCATGCCCTTTTTTGTTTTAATCACAACCAATGCCATTCAAATCCCTTCTTCATCTGTCACTTATTGAGTAACCCTTCAACATCAACACCATAGACGAGCCCCATCAATTTAATACTTCCCACAAATAAACATTTCAAACAACCTAGAGCCATTTCATCTTCAATTACAACCTACCCTTAATAAATCCTATATTTATTTTTCAAGAAAAAAATAATAATAATCTTGTATTTGTGACTTCCCAACTCAAAGAATAATGCATCTCTTGCATGATGACAACATAGAATGTCTATGTTATGTTTGGCATCAGCCGTAGCACCAACAATTGCGTTGCATGAATGCATCCTTCCTTTACGTTGATTATTAAGCTTTTAACCCTTTTCTGACCACCATAAATGTCCCCATCACATTTAAGTCCACATCCATTTCCACTGGCTCGGCAGCACTTTGCGCTCATTGCACTAGCCCACCTGTCCTCCTTAGTGTTGTAGCATCTCACAAACATTGCACATGCCTTGTTGGAAATGATCGCAATTCATCTAGCCATTGCTAAGGCACACCCCACAATTTGCTTGGCCACTTTATCTAACCTATTAAACTTTAATCTGTAAATCCAATCTACCCAATAAAGATCATAATAAATTTTAATTGATTTAATAAAATTCGTGAAGAGCTCCAAGCTTCTGAGGATATTTTTCAATTTTTTGTTGATGCTCTCGAGGATTGACAACAAGCTTCTTATGTCGTTATTGATTTGTGGTATTACTCATCATGGTCTACCCATGCTTCAGATAAATTTTTCATTTGTCTTTCTTACTTTGGATGAATATTGTCAAGTTATTAGTATGGTGGATGACATTCAATTCCTCCAATAAATTCTAACTATTTCGGCAGGATTTTTATCATCCAAAGGAAGTTGATGCAGGATAAATTAGGCTTAGATTTAATTCAGCATTTATTATATAAAATTATCCATTTGAATAATTATTAGGATAAGTTTAGATTTAAATTTAAATTAGTATAAGCCTAATTTTAGATCTTAAAAAAATTATACTTAATTTATATAAATAAAGTGGTTCACTTAATAATTCATTGATGAATTTAATGAAAATTATGGCTTAGTTCCTAACTTCTTCCCCGATTTGAGTTTGATGTTTCTCTCCCTCCCGTTTAAATGTTTCTTATCTTTATATCTTCTATCATCAAATCTTTGTTTCTTTTTCTCAATGCATTGCACAATTTAATTTCTTCATTGAGAACTCCGTGGACTAATCAACTTCAACTCTGACATCGTTTGACAAGGAGTTAAACAACAAACTTCAAGACCATGGAGGACTGAAGAAGCCGCATTTTGTGAAAAGGAAAAATTTGATGCAGATATAAAACTAAGCATGTAAAAATAAAAACGTGACAAACAAAATACCTAAAAGAATGGATTTGAAGGCAGAAAGAAAGAATTATATGACAGAAAATACAACAAAAACCATGGCAAAAACATGCATGTTAAATAATATTAACTAAACTAATAATACAATGACTCACAACAAAGGACTAAGATGTCTTACACCACACCATTATTATACAAGGAATATATAAAATATGACTGCGATGGGCAAAGTAACGTGCAAATAGGGAGGCTCATTTGATGATGCCAGTGAAGTTGGGAGTGATGCTACATTCCTCAAACATTTGAATCGTTGTAGCATGCAAGACATCATAACTTGTTGGTTGAGATCATAGGTTTTCATCCAAGAGGTCTTGGATTCAAGACTTTGCATATATGGTGTACGTGCATTTGTGATTAAATTCACTCAAATATCCAAAAAGAAAATCATTATAGACCAACTACTGGCCTGCAAGATACAAGTATAGTATTTGTTCAAAACTCATCTAACTACCGGTCAACAAAACCTAATATATAATTTTGATGTTATGTCACAAAATATTTTCCATACAAAGTACAAGTATCTATTCTTAATTATAAATTAACATACTCTACTCTAATTTAGACAGCTAGTTTGGCATAATTAATTGACTCTGCTAACATTTCCTTTAAAAAAACTTATATTCTATGGAATAAAAATGAACATAAATAGTGAACTGCATCTATTAGTGCTTCAGGGGGGGG